AGAATGGAATATTACTTAATATTAAGTAAACTATAAGTAATAAGTCATTATTGCTTACAAAATTAGTTTGCCATCCATTGATTCAATAAATAAGTATAATATAGTTTCAAAGTTAACTTATTTCGAAATAAGTGAGTTTTTGAAATTCAGTAATCAGAAAACTAAATAGATCATACTACAGTTGACCCTCTCAGAATCGATATGCATGGTGGACAGGTTTTGTATCAGTTTTAAGAGGTTATCGGATTTGAAAAAATAGCAAACTATTAGATTTATATAACGGGAACGGACTTGGAAGATTAATTTGAAAGGTTATCGGCTTTGACAGGATCGGTTTTGAGAGGGTCAACTGTATATGAAATTTAGATTTGAAGATCAAATACATCACTTATTTTATCCGAAATCAGATGAAGATCTTTAATTTTGAAATCCGCAATATAGCAATTATCAATTGAGCATCAAAATATTAATTTATTCCTCATTAAATTTTATTCAAATAGATTTAGTCCCAAAATGTAGCAATTATTTATTGATATAAGTATTAAAATGAGCTGTTCACTCCTCATTTAGCTTGTTCACATTAGATTAGTCTGCATTAATAATAAATATCTGTCAAGATTATTATGAGCTAGCACGTTAATTCAGGACGCACATGAGCGCTTATTCGAGACTATTTACGTTATTTTAAAGGACCCGATTTTCAAAATAACGCTCATTAGCATTATTTCGCAATTATACGATAACCAATAATAAACTTACCTACCATTATTATTTCAATGACATTGACAATTTATTTATTATTGCCATATAAGTGCGAAATAACATCCACCTGTGCGCTAATTAATTGACCTGCGCGTTATTACGAATACGCCCATGAGTGTTATTTCGAATAAGAGAAGATTTGCTAAATTCAGTATAGTCAACATTCAATAAATGCACGTTGTTGGGTAATAAAATATTCGTTATGGAGAATAATCTACATACAATATTAAATAATTACATTAGACAGGTCAAATTGTATGCACTTGCATTATGGGAAAATGCGTGTGAAGTGCACTTATAGAGTGTCAACAGTAAATTATGTGCTAGCGCATTAATTCAGGACGCACATGAGCGCTAATTTGAGACCATATAAGTTATTTTTAAAGAACCTGATTTTCAAAATAACACTTACGAACATTATTTCGCACTTATGCGATAACCAATAATAAACTTACCTACCATTGTGATTTCAATAACATTGACAATTTATTTACTATTACCGTATAAGCGCGAAATAACGTCCGCCTGTGCGCTAATTAATTGAATAGAAGATTTGCCAAATTCAATATAGTCAACCTTCAATAAATGCACGTTGTTGGGTAATAAATATTCATTATCTACAGATAATATTAAATAATTACATCAGACAGATCAAATTATATGTACTTATCAAGAGCATGTGAAGTGCACTTATAGAGTGTGCGCATATGGAATATCGACTGTATTTCTATCGCAACAGTAAATTATGTGCTACATTAGGATGCGCGCTAATTCAGACGCTAATTCTAGACCATATAAATTATTTTAAAGGACTCGATTTTCAAAATAACGCTCACGAGCATTATTTCGTGCTTATACGGTAGCCAATAATAAACTCGCCTACCATTGTGACTTCAATGACATTGACATTTTATTTATTATTATCGTATAAGTGCGAAATAACGCCACCTGTGCGCTAATAAATTGACCTGCGTGTTATTACGAATACGCCCATGTGCGTTATTTCGAATAAGAGAAGATTTGCTAAATTCAATATAGTCAACCTTCAATAAATGCATGTTTTGGGTAATAAAATATTCATTATCAAAATATAATATTAAATAATTACATCAGACAGATCAAATTATATGCACTTATCATTATAGGGAAAGAGCATGTGAAGTGCACTTATAGAGTGTGCGCATATGGAAAATCGACTGTACGTATATCTATTGCGCTAATTCAGGACGCACATGAACAATAATTCGAACCCATATAAGTTATTTTCAAAAGACTCGATTTTCAAAATAACGCTCAGAGCATTATTTCGCACTTATACAGTAGCCAATAATAAACTCACCTACCATTGTGACTTCAATGACATTGACAATTTATTTATTTGTTCGGATAAAATTTTACCAAACCACCTTTAAAAGCCTAATGTTTCAAGTATATAGAAACTATCCGAAATTTCTATAAATTAATTAGAAACTTTAACGTTTATAATTTTAATATTTTCTACTTAAACAACATCTATAAGTGAGATATAGGCGCTGTTCAGCGTTTTTGTAGATCACAAAAATTACCCAGTGACAAATAATATAAATCAACTTTTTAAAATATTATTTATATATGCCATGTGATATAAACAATTGTGTAACGCACGTGATTTTAATTTTTTACTATGTGTCACACCGAGTACCATATACAATACTAGATGGTTAAGATTTTATGTAAACTCAAAAAATTATTAAGCCAGCATAATTTAACTTTTAATTAGAATTATAAATCGGGTTATGCTTTATTTAATAAGCCAATAAAAATTTTTTAGTCAAAAAGTAGATCTCTTCCCTTTCTATTGAACAGCGCCCATTTAAGCAAAAATTGATAATATCATTTGGATTTTGGTTCTTTTTTATTAGAAATCGTTCTAATGTATCAAGAACTGATTGAGAATTTTTGTCTTTCGCTCTTTCTTCATTATAAATATTATACATTTCCTCAACAATATTATTTAGAAAATCCTGTGAAAAACTCTGTAAATTGTTATAATCTAAATTAAATTGGATGAAACTGTTTGCTATTTGAGTAATATCTGATGAATTGTCGACTTTTTCCGACTGCTTAACAAATTGGTTATTGTAATTTGACATTTTGACGCAAGAAAAGTGTAATTATGGGAAGAGCCAAATTTATTAAAGTTATGTATTACATTTCGCAATGCACATTTATATATTTTTACCACATACATATTGTAAATAGAGATGTGCCGTTATGCTACATAATTAGAGTTGGTGGTGCGACGCCAATGGTGCACCAAATTGGCGCACCAGCTGGCACCAAAGCAGGTATGGTGAAGCACTAGAAGTTCTATTAAAGTGAAATCCAATAAAAAATTAATATACTAAGTCTGTTTTCGCCATATAAATCTAACCAATAAAAATTCTAGCACGTAAATGTAGTGATTTAACCTATTTTTTTTTATTTGTATTTATACATAATGTAGTCAAAGCTTGAGCTTACGAATTTTTACATAGCGAATATTTTAAAGTAACGGAAATTTTTTGCATTCTAAATACAGACATATAAATTTGTCTTTTTATATAGCGAAGGCATTAGATTAGAATGTGAACTTTGCTATATCGAGCTTTGACTGTAGCTGTAAATAAAATTTGATACTGAGGCTTTTAAATAAAAGTTCAATCACTTAGTCAAATAAATTATTAGATAATTGGAGTCAACCTATAAATATGCGATTTATTGTATATATAAATTTCTGTTATACTTGATTATATATGATTTAAATAGTAAAATCACATTGTTATAGAGGACTAAATCCTAAGTGTATTGGTAAATTCGTTATAAATAACAATGTGGTTTTTATTATAACGACCGAATTTCCAGCGTTATAACAAGGGTGGAGTGTATTCATTAATTTGGTATATTAAAGTAACGCTTGATTGATCAGACAATGTGTCAAACATAAATATTGATTTAAACGATTCCTTTCTTATTTGTCTTTTATCGAGGAGTGTTACGAATGAAAAAAAACTATGAACTTTCTGTCCCTTCCGCTTTCGTGCTATACATACTAGCAGTGAGGCTTTAAATATCGACTGTTTACCACGAGTTTCGACCAATTCAAAATAAAAGTTACTTGCTCAATGTGCATATAATTTTTTTTTTTTTACTTGCGCAAATATTACTTCAAACTTATATATACATTGTGCAGTTTTTTCTTATAAAATTTTTTTTACAAAATTCCTAAAAATTAAACAAAAAAAAACGCTTGCATTGAATGCAAATTTTTTAAACCCTGGTTTCGACCTTATAAGCTACTTTTAAGGGCGGGTGAGGTTCTTAGCTCCCTTCAATTAACACACTAAATTGATCGTAGGAAAATTTTACATGCAGATACCGGACTAATCCTTCGAGACTGCGTCACCATTTATTTCAAATCCAAATTTGCGACCGGCATTCAACTGATCATGAACTATACGATCATTTACCAGGGTCGGTAGAAAAAAACAAAATCGGGCCAGCCTAGCAAAAAAAAAAATCCAGAAAAGCAGTGAACAGAATGACCTATCTAGGAAAAAACCTGTTACCTTTAAATGGTGCGAAAATACTACGCCATTATGTCACTAAAAATCACACATGAAATTTGCAATAAATCACAATGCATCATATGTTCAATTAATATATACCTGTGATCTATTCGACTTCCCGTGTCAGGCAAATAATTTTAACAGCTTATTTAAGAACTTTAAATTATATCTTAAAATAGTAAGCATCAAATAAAAAGAGTAGATTTTTATTAAACAAGAAAAGAGATATAATAAATTGCATAAAAATTTCAAATAAATAAAAATACAAATAACAAGTTTTTATTAGTGGAACATTAAAATATCTAATCATTTCTTTGTCTAAATGATAAGTATTTAAAGAACCATGTATTAAATTTTTCGATGAATATTAATGAATCCGTGGCGATTGCAATCCTTAGAGCAGTCAAAAATATGATATGCAAAAAATGTGCATTTCTCTTTATTTTTCTTATTATATTCTGCATTCTTTTTAATGCTATCGAATAATTGGTTATTTTCATTCTTTTTGCAATAAAATATATTTGAACCTCTCATATTATGCCAATCAATGTTTTCTTGACCAAAACAATAATTGCAAAGATCAATCATACTATTATATGACATAAATAGTTATTGTGATGTTATTATAATAAAGATTGAAAAAAAAGATTTTTACTCACCACAAAATAGGTTTATGATTGAATCATCGGTTACAAGTTTATTATTTTTACTTATATCACAAGCAAATAGACATGCTAAGTGATTAGTTGACGTAAAATGCGTACCAATAGCAATTGTCGTATTATATGGATTATAAGAGGTTTTTCTTGATGGAGCTTCTAATACACAAGTACTCAGCATCCGAGTTTTCAGGTAATGTGGTATGGCATTAGTATCTGGAATGCTTGCAATATATTGATTTTTTAATTTTGAAATTTTGGGACTATAACCTCTAAGTATTATCGGATATTCAGCTTGATCAAAATCAAAATTTCTCGGATAGCCAACAACAATCCAACCGATTTGTGTTGAATATCTTTTATTTTTCTCTTTTTTGCTAGCAAAGAGATGAACTAAAATTACAGGGCTATATCTATCTTCATAATCAACACACAATGAAAATACGTTCTCGTCCTCCTTGTTCATTATCGATGCAAAAATATGACATTCATGCCCATCAGGAATTTCATGCTGTTTATTAGCAAATTGATATACATATGGTTTTTTTCTGTAACGTTCCAATCAACCTTAATTTCTTCAACATTTGCTATCGAAAAAAAAATTCATTAATCACATGAGACAATTTTATAAAAAAAAAATGTTATGTAGATAGTATTATCACCTTTTAAAATTTTGTATCCCAAGATTTCTTTGATTTTCTTTTGTAATTCAAAATCCAGAAATTCAAATGTTGGTTTAATGCCATCATATTCACCTATTTCCCAATTTTCGTAGTTTTCGCTCGATCGTTGCCAATAATTCGCTCTACTGAATACTTATTATCAGCAGAAGTTTTTGATTTATTTTTGGTCATGAATGTAAACCCATTCTTCACTATAGAGCTGATTGTAATGTTAGTATCAGTCGTTTTAGCTTCTGTAATCTCGCTTGAATATAAAAATAATAATAAAAATAAAAAACGCAGCGAAAACGTTTAATAAATTTATTATGCTACTTACTTGGACTTTTAGTATTTATCTGAATATCCGTATTTCTTTGTTATATCACGAAGGCATGGCTTTCTAATTTATTACCATCTTTTGTTGCATTATTATTCAATATTTTTTTAATCAAGTCAATAAAAGTAGGTTTTAAAAGAATGTTTTCTTTTGATAAAACGATGGATGCTCTTCTTGTTTTGGTAATCGAATAAATAGTTGATTTTTTTGCTTACTTTTGACTCTTGATATGATACACCAAAAAACACAGAAAGCCAAGGTGATAAAGCATTGATACCACCATATGATATGAAATTCTTCTTACATAAAGTATCTAACTCAGTCTTGCATTCTTCAAGTTTATCAATTTTATTAGTTGGTTTAATTTCTCTTTTTGATGTAACTTTATCAACATCAACCTCGAATGCTTGTTCAGGTGCTCCTTTAATGTGATCATCTCATCCTTGAATATGAATCCATAGTTAAATTTCTTAATTAATTTTGTCCAATCAAGGCCAGATTTTTGTTCGATTAGTAAAATTTGTGATTAACTCGTATTATATTCGTCATTATGCGAAATCAACGTGTTGGTCTTATCTCAAAAATAGCCTTTCGACCCAAATTTGAGCATATCATCATTTCCTTCATTAAGTCTTTTCCGAATTTTCTTGAGTTTTTCGTTTATAGGCAACGTGCAAAGTTTTGAATTTTCCACGTTACCGAATGAATCCACTACTTTAATTTTAACTCGACAAAAATTAAGCGAGCAACAAGTAGATATATTTTAATATATTTCATTTATTAGAACACTTTTTAAACGGCTTTTGCTCAGAATTCAAAGTCAGTCGTAGATAGTTCTTTACATAATTTCTTTTGAATTTCTGTAAGCTTTTCTGTTTCATATATGTTAATATTCATAACCCGATCATATACGTTGTCATGGATTTCTATAAATTTCGAAGAGCCATTTATTATAGTTGTATCAAATGAATTTTGTGAACAGGCTATAGCTTATCAACAGAATTTAGCGTGAAATTAATGGCTATATTATTTATCGTTAAACATTTATTTGCATCGTTACGAAATATTATCATAATATTATGGTTAAATTATATTATGTGAAACTTTGACTGTGAACGTTAAATTTTTGCAATTTTAAATTATTTGTATATTCTAACCTATTATATCAGATACCTAAGTATGAATAATAAATTTCAGGAATTTCTGAAAACGAGTTCAAAAACGTCAAGACTATTGATCAGCTGCCAAAATGGATTAAAGGACAAAATGTAAATAGTGGTCTCGTATTCACAGAGAAGAGTATATATTCATCACATTTTCCTACACTTATCACTGATACAAAAGTTAACATCAACATTTTGAATGAATCATCAAGAAAATTTAAAGCAAAGTTAAATATTCTGACAAAAAAGTTAGATTCTATTTTGCTAGAAAATCATATTGATAACCCAAACTTTACTTAATCAGTAAGAATTAATTAAATTATTGATGTCAATAATCCCATAATAGAAAATTCACCAGTTAATGACATTTATCTAGAAATCCAATGTCCTTTAGTCGAATTAATCTTTGATAAAACGACTGTTCGTCCTTCTAAAGATTTAAAAGATGAAGTAGAAAGGGCAATGGTGATTGAAAATCCGGATAAAGAACTGATGAAAGTATTCAACACTTGTGGACATTTCTTACCCAGAAAAATAATTATAGGGCACAAATTATATAGAAAGTCTAACT